GTTTTATTTTTGTCTTTATTCAGTATAAGATGCAGCATATAACAGAAATGGAAAAAAATCTAAAAGAGAGAGAAAAGGTTTTGTTTATTAGTAACCAATTGTACTGATGCTTACTATCATAGATAGCCCTGATGAAATGTAAACCACTGAAAGCCCAAAATGATATTTTTATTACATTTCAGTAACTGTAAATACTGACTGAAGGTAGAAACTTCTGTTTCATATTTTTCTTATTATTACCTTTTGCATTGTTATACAGTTAAGTTAGAGATTTATCATATCCTCCCCCCCCCCAAAAAAAAGGGTTGTATTTACCTGTGATACCACTTTTAGGCCTTTAATGATTGAAACTGTATTTGGTGTTAATATATGTTGTGTTACTATTGTTGCTAATTATTGGTTTGAGTTAGTTTCTTTTATTGTTGTGCTAGTTGATAATTTCTATATACAATAACATTTCTTTAATGAATAATTAAGTAAATATTTTCTTATTTTGGTGTCAGGTCTATCAACAAGTATTTATTGCTGCTTTAAATTAGATTCAAATACAGTTTCATATAAAAATTAATCCAGTTTATATTGGTGTTTTCGTAACCTTTCAGAATTTTATTGTTCGATATTTTAGGCCAGTAATTTGGGTTATGTAGATGATAATTAATCCATGCATGATAAAATAATTTTAAAAGAAAGCAATAATGATTATAGGAACAGAGGAGTTTTCAATAAATTCTATTTTCACATAAAATTATATCCTATATATAAAGAAATTATACAGAGTGTACCATATAAAAACATCAGTTGTTTAAATTTTATGTAACAGTAAATGTTATGCAAATCGATGGACATTTTGCCTCCTGAACAGGTCCTGTTTATCATTCTGTTGATAAAGTTCTGAATCTTCTCTTTAGAAAGTGTCATTGCATGTTTATAATGCCAGCGTTATCAGTCAGCTAGGATCTCCATCTCACGAGTGCTTACTTCACAGTAGTGTGGCAGAATTAACAGTTTGTGGAAGAAACCAAAATGCAGGGTAGAGAATTTTTTTCTATTTTTTTTAAATATAAATATTTTTGCTGAAAATTCCAGAAATTTAAATTCATTTGATGTAAAAAAAAACAAAGTATTACAATTAACAGGAGTATTGAAAACAGCGATGATTGGTTACATGTGTCAAGAATAACCAGTGTTACTAATAACTATTTTGTTCACAAGGTCAGTAGTATTTATGTCCATAAATAAATAAAGCTAAGTTAATAACTTAGAAAACACCAGAAATTTAAGTCTTGATATGAAAAACAAAGTATAACAATTAACATAAGTATTAAAAACAACTGTGATTAATTATTTACTTCTGTCAAGAGGCCTTTAAATTGGATTATCTTTGATTAGTGTAAAATGTCTCATAAAACTGTATATTGTTAGTGTACATGTATTTTCCGAAGATCACCTTTAATTTGTTATTGTTGTAAGATCACGTATCAAATAAATAATTCTATAGAAATTTTGGAAATAGAATTTTTTTGTGCATATTTTATAACTGTGAAAAAACAAAATGTTAAATTTACTGTATTTTAGAAGACTCTCATGTATAATGCTGGTTTTTTTTTACAATTATATTAAGCATATTCATAAAATAGTGTGTCATTTTAGCATGCTTTGAGATTTACTTTTATGAATCATGTCTTATGTGTCTGGCAGTTAGCTGATTTTGAATTTTGTTGTTGATAAATTTTCAGTGAAGAGTTTGGACTTGAAGTTAGTTCTGCATCAATTAAAGTTTTCAAGCACGATCCTCAGGTATGGCTGAGATTGTAATAATCTCTTTGTTAATAGTTTAAATTCCATGAATGTTAGTTATTCTTGTTCTGAAATTCACTGCCTAAAACCTTCCCAAATAAAGTAATAAAATTACTGTCTCTTTTTAGAACATAATCTTAGAATACTTTAGTTGTTCTGTAGACAAAATTACTGTATCTTTTAACTTAACGTGATGAGGTACTTCAACTTACCAATAAACTTCAAGTGTAGAATACTCGTAGACTGTTTTACCAAACACTACAATTAAAGTGTATTTAGAATCAGTTGGAAAAAAGATATTACTAATAACTAATTTTATCATGAGGTTAATAGCAGTTCTTACCTATTAATATCCATATATTTTTATACATTAATAACTTTGTCGTGAATAAACTGTAATTTGTTTTAGTATTGGTAAAGCTATTCAATATCTACGTATAATAGAAAATCCAATTACTCATGAAATTATTAAAAATTTAAAAGCATACTCTCCTTGATCAATTCACTGGACTCAAAAGCCATAATTAGATTTAATTACAAACAATCAATGATGAATCTTGGAAAAATCAAAATAATTTTATATTTGTTGTTGTTTTTATAAGGTAATGATGTATGTATATGTTCAAGGGAAAATGGTCGTTGTATCGGTATTTAAGTAGATAGCTTCTTTGTACCATGAAGTACCACGTTTGTTTATGTTGGTCGAACCATAGAACAAAAATTAAGAGAATGCATCGATGTAACTGGACTAACAGATAACAACTAAACAGGACACATCATAAACTGCTATCAACATAGAATTTTAGATAAAACTCACCACTGGAAAGAAATAAAAGTCAAAGAAGCTATCTACAACAAATTACACCAACCTGTGGACAACCACACTCGACAAACTGAAGATAATATGATGATATCACACTCTTACTGACAACACATGCCAGTCACTGTGTCCCCTCAACCTACACAGCTGAGCTGACCTGTTTTAGACACTACAGAAGAAGGCCTCAGTATACAAGCTAAAACGTTATCCACTTTTCATTCGACAGGCCTGACAATTACAGTTCGTTAAAGTTCTCACATAGTCATACATCATTAAAATATATTAATTTTCAATCTCTGTACTCACTTTCTGTAAATCCCTGGTTGAGTTTTTTGCCTAGTCAAAAACTCATAAACATTTCCTTGTTTAGAGCACACTATGGCAGAGAGAATAATGTGTATTGTATTTTAGTGTATGGAAATAGTTACACATCATAGATGTGCATGAAACTTTTCTTGACATTATTATTTTATTCAGATAACATTTTGTTAATTTTAAATGTAAGTGAAATAATTGCACACTGCAGATTTTACATCATTTTTATTACTTCACGAATTGGTTAACTCTTTTTGATTTTATATGTTTTTATAGTATGTGAAACACCGTATAGTTAAAAGAAATATCTTTTTGTTATAATCTGTGTTAATTTTCAAGCATCATGAACTACATGTTAAATAGGGTAGTCAAATAAATAACTTATTAAATATGCAGTTACAATTTCTAAAGTAAGAGACCCATTTATTTAGGACTACATACTTGTTGATACCAGTGACTTTACCTCATATTTTCCTGGGTACAAAAGTACATTTCCACAGAATTTTGCAACCTTTTAAAGCACATAGCAAGCTAAGCTTACTGGTTAGTTCGTACAGTAGCTACAACTGACATCATCAGTATTAACAATAGTCATACTCTGGTGTAACAATTTTATATTAAAATTATTTATGGATGAAAATACAACCAACTTTTTACTCTTTATATAAATCACATTTTAAAGATACATAGTTTTTACACTAACCTTGTACTAGTTCTATATCAATTCATTTTCTGGTGGTTATTATGATTATATTAAATTCATTTGCCATTTTTAATATTTATTATTTTCATAAATTATGGAAATTTACTAGTAATGATTTATTGTTGAGTGGAACACTGTATGTAAAGACTAATGACATAAAGGGTTACTCTGAGTAACAAGTTATTTTGTTGATTTATAACTATAAAAGAGTGGAGGAGCAGGAGAGCCATGCTTGGCTCAGCTTTCACTAAGCTTGATGTGTAACCTGGTTGCTAAGCCTGAAGAATCCTTCAAGATAAAAGTAAGTATTTTATGTTTAAAAAAATGTAGTTATAATGAAATGGGTTATTCATAAAAAAAAGGAACAGTTACAGAAAGTCACTTCACCCTCTGGAGAGGATGATTACGTATGACACATTGGTCTTTTTAAAACTTGTTAACAATGGCTATCACATCATAAAATGGCTAATGTTGTAGATATGGAACTTTTATGTGTATACTTAAGCAGATATGCCTTTTGGAGCTTTATCAAAGATTTGGCAGATATATGATTGGAGAAGTTTGGTTTTAGTTCAGTTTCTTCATTTTTCTTATGAAAACCGATATTGGTTTCAAGGTGTAGTTAAAGGGCTATAATCTTTTATCAATTTCAAACCTCATTTATTGTCTCAGAAAATATGCCGAGCTTTGTTTCAATGATGTTTTAAGTTAAAGTATTCTTTTTCTTAACCAAACCTTTCATCTTGCAGAATATGGCATTGTTCCTGATTAGCTTGGGGTAGGTTTTTCAGAATTTTCTGTTCTAGCTTCCCTATGTTCTTGGAGTTGTGTCCTTTCTTTGGCTGTACAATATATAACAATCTCATTGTTTGAATATTTCTCTTTGGAAAGAGTTGTTACATATCTAACCAACCAGCAATCAAGTTTATAGACATGGACAACAAAATTCTTTTATTTGCAAAATGCATATTAAGTGATAGCAGTTTTAGAGCCATTCTGATATTTTCAGGGAAATATTAGCTAACTTGCATGCATTTTAATATTGGTAATTGATCCTCTGTTTATTTATTCCACAATTTGTTTAATAAGTAGTGAAATATAAGTATAATTACAATGCAAACAGGTAAACTGATTTCATTGTATCTTATTTTTCAAAATATTACTCGTTTGACGGAGGAAATTTACTTAGATGTTCTCCCACTGGACTAATCCAAATCGAGTTATTTATTAATTACTATTCAACCAGTGATTTATAACTTGCTTGAGATTTGATAGCAATGTTTAGCTTTCACATACAGGCATGGTATGTTTATGAAATGTTTAATAATGTAATTATTGAAATTCTCATATAAATAATTCTTGCAGAGCCTAGCTGTTGCTGTTTTGAAACCAGAAGTTATGTTTTATGAAGGTGAGTTTTCATTAAACATTTTGTACCCAACTTTGATGTATTTTAATTATATTTAGCTGTGGTGTATTTTTAGTCCATGTATGTGTGTATATAATATCCTATATAATTAATAAAAACCTCAAATTATTAAAAATAAGGATATATATATTGAATATGTATTTGTGTAAGTTAAAGTTACAGGAAGTTTTTAGAGCCTTTTTTTTAAACTTACAAATTCTTTGTACTTGTAATCACATTCAAAATTGACAACCTACGTCAACTTCCTTCTCATACTTCATTGCTATTTCCAAGTTAAAGAAAGTCATCTGTGGTTGGACAAGTTCCTAATTTACGTACATATTTCATTGTAAAACAACTTTGTTTAGATTAAACATGTGAATGTAAATAGGCCAATTATGTAGTTCATGACTTGTAAGGCCTGGTGGTTGGGGCGCTTGATTTGCAATCTGTTGGTCGTGTGTTCAAATCCCATCACTGGATATGCTTGCCCTTTCAACCAAAATGGTGTTATAATGTGACAGTCAATCCCACTATTTGTTGGTAAAAAGTTAACAGTGGATTATGTTGACTAGCTGCCTTACATCTAGTTTATCACTTCATAATTAAGGATGACTATAACAGATAGCCCTCGTGTAGCTTTGTACAAAATTCCACAAAACAAACAAGTAAGCACCATTTGTAATACTAAAAACCATTAAGTGTAAGCTTTTTCAAAGCTAAGTACTGATTAAAACAATTTTAGCATTTTCAGAAGTTTGGGATCTCTTTAATTGTAATTTGTACAATTTTATGGACTGGCTTGCATTTTCAAGTGTCATGAAGTCTCTTCGAACTTTATTTCTCAAAATTGTATATAGTTAATTTCAGTTCTAAGCTTAAGGTCTAAATTTTGTAAACAGTACCAGAGAAGAAAGGTGTCGGTTAAAATGACATAATAATGGCCATATAATAATGAAATGTATTTTTGTTTATCCGATTAATGCACTTTTTATTAACTTTCTGTAGTGCAAAAACATGAAATTGAAACACTTAATGTCAACTGAAATACCCATGTTTGATAATAATCTGGCAAAATATAATTGCACAAGATAACATGACTTGTGTTTTTTGGTATTTGATTAATTATAGTCCTAACAAGTGGCAGGATTGTAATAAAGGATATTTTTTTGTGAATTAAACTTGTTGACCAAAAAAACATGTTTTATTTTGTTTTTTTTACATAATTATATTTTTTCATGCTATTTTAGCAAACTGTAGATGGCTAAGTTAATCAGTAAAATTTAATATTCAAAACTTCAACAACATTCAGTAAAGATGTATATTCACAGACATTCTTATATTGTGCTTTGTTTTTTCATCAATGAAAATATTTTATGAGAAGCTCCTTTGATGCTGTTTGTAAATAAAATATAAATTGAAAATTTGTATATTTTTTTTAATTTTGTGAACAACCTTAGAATTTTTTTTTTTTTCTTGAACAAAAATTATTTTTAAGCAGATAAAATTAGGTAAACGTTATATATTATGCATAAGTTAAGTTAAGAATTTATTTATCTAACACATCTTTATTTTCTCTGCCTCAAATTGAGAAATATATTGCAGCTCTGGCTTCTGTGATCTTGCAAAAAGAGAGTCATTTTTAATTTCAAGGGGTGGAAGTATGCACACAAAGTCTCTTATACATTTAATTTTCTGCTCAATAACTTTTCACATGATGTTGAAGTAGAGAAGTGTTTTGAGACCTACTCCTCATTAGAGCTTGAGTTATGTTATTATTAGGCTGAGTGTGGCCCAGTGTTTGGCATGCCAGATTATGGTTATGTGGATCCAACATTCATGCCCCATTACTGTAAAAAAAATCACACACTGCCCTATAGAGCCATGGGTTTGTTATAAATATGAGAGTCATATCCAACTAATCAGTAAGACAAGCATAACCCAGGATTTGGTGGTGGATGCTTTTGACTAGCTGCCTGATTTTTTTTTGTTATTTAACAGAAGTTAATTTCTGATTGCCATCTTTAGAAAGGCCAATAATGTTTTTATTATTATTTGTATTACAAGAGTTTTTTTTTTTTTCTGATAGGTGTTCCAATACAATAGGTTAGAAAGCAGTTCTCACCGAAGCAAAGTTAACCAATACAACTGACATCAGAGACCAAGACAGAGAAATGCTTGAGCAAGAAACTCAAAGTGATAGATTTCAAACAACAGAAATTAACCAAGAATTAGTTGGAAAACAGTCAACTTTAAATGAAATGCTTCAAAAAATTCCAGAGGTAATTTATAAATGCAAATGTTTTTAAGGATTGTATCAGTACACCGGCACCAAAAAGATATACAGTATTCATGGAAACAAAAAATACAATGAGTATAAAAGGCAAGTATTATGGGGTTGCTCTCACTCTCTCTTATAAGAAAGTAAGCTACACTGGAGTACAGTCACGTGTTTTTAGTTTACCCTGTGTTTGGTTGTCATCCAGCATAAAGCTTATAAAAGAACTATCAGTCATACTGTTCCCAGTAGTAATGTGGTAATTTCATTCATGGCTCCTAGGACCAAATATATAAAAAAATGCAAATATTTTAGATATTAAGTCTTATACATTAATTTGCAGTATTTAGTATTTTCTAATATATTTACTTTAATACACTTGTGGACTTTTTAAATTTTTTAATAAAAAAGTAAGATGTAAAATGACAATTTTAATTTAGGTTAATAATTGCTAAATGCTATTAAAAAAATAATATTTTTTATGTTCTCTAATTAACCTTGAGGGACTGATTCCAGTCTCAAAGTATTACTTCTAATGTTAAATTTTACACACAAGAAATGTAGTTAATTTCTTTTAAAAACAATTCAGATTTGTATAATAAAATCAAAAGATTTTAATATACGTAAAGTTTTAACAGATTTCACTAACTTTTAGAAATGATGTCTGGATTTTTTAAAGTCAAAAAATTTTGATTTATTAGAAGGTTGAACAGACTTCATTAGTCATCGTTCTGGTTAGTAACCTGTATAGTCATGCAAGTCTAATTGTTAATTAGTTACTACTATTTCTTGAAAATTATGCATGGATCTGAAACCTGTGTACACAACTAGTGGTAAAAAAAACACCTCATTATGCCAAATTATATAATTGGCATGTTATTACTGAGTAGGCTTATATGTCAACATAAAATCTGATATCAAACTGCATCAGTAAACTGTTTGTGCTTAAAAAGCTGTTTCATTATATTTTTATTAACCTTCAGCACAAATGAGTTTAAATAATGGCTGGAGATGGCTTGAATGGGTAATGAAGAAAAACTTTAATATAAGTTCAACATAACAGCAAATGTACAACGTTTCGACAAGGTTTTGTCATCATCAGGTACCATTATTAGTCCAGCCAATATTAGTCTCAAAGTGGGTTCCTCGTCATCGAAAATGAGTTTAAAGTTCAAAAGTCAATGAAGTGAAACAACATATTCTATCCTAACTGTTGTACTCTTGAAATTTCATAAACTGATTTTTGAAACATATCACTGGTGATTTGGATTTTAACCACACACAAAATGTCGGTAAAAGAAACTTAACAGCTATGAACTTGATAAAATACTTTACATATAAGAGAAAGTCTTGATGCTTGTTATTTATTTCAGATAGTGGAAATTAAGTTTCTATCCTCTTCAGTCAAGTTAATGAGAGAAGCTGGCCATCGGTGAGTTTTTTATGACAAAAACAAGAAGATTTTATAATAATCGGTTTCCGAAAGATATTCTTTATAATGAAATGTTTAAAATATTTTTAATAAAGTTTGGGTTCAAAGAAGTAAGTGACCAAGATGTCTGATCGTTTTCTGGATTGTAGAAATTTGTAATTTTATGTATTATTTGAAATAACTTATTTAATATCAAGAATTTTGTGAACAACAATAAAGTTTTGAAATCATTATATTTGTCAAACATACTTTAATAAACTATTATAATTTCATTTTTGGATTTGGCAAAGCAAATAATATTTTTTTTGAATTACATGTACAGGAGTTCTCTTTTTTAAAGCTAACATGTAAATGCCTCCCACCTGAGGTTTAATGTTACAAGAACAAGCATTTATTAGTTGTTATATAGAGGAATTTGTAAATATTGCTAATGTAGTAAAAAGTGCTAAAGTTGTTATATCTTGTTTAAACTAAGCCGTATAGAAAATTTAACTTCCAGGGAATTGATGATTTCTTTGTATAATTTTGATGTAACCTGAAACACCCATATTTGCCATTCACCATCCAAAGCAAGAAAAAGTGTAAAATCAATTTGGTTAGGTTATGTACCAAGTTTCTACACCAAGTTCTTGCCAGAAATTGGCTAGCGTAATTGTATTCTTCCAGTTTCATCAGTTTCAAGGTAAATGATATATTTCTGTTAAACAATTTTCGACAAAGTAGACCTCTGCTTCTTTTAAGAGTTTGGTTTCATGTGATGAGTTCTTCATCTTGTAGCAGTTTTACGTTACTTTATAGATTAAGATTTATTTGATTTTCATTATTTTGTAATACTGAAAACTAAATAAAAGTAGTGCTTAAATAATTAAATATTTTCCCATTTTCTTCCATGTTCTTTCAGTACACTTACAGTAACTCTACAGTTGATTCATGCAGAAATGAAACAAGATTTGGCATCAGACACAGATTTTTCAACTTTGATTTCATCTTTGTCACTTCAAGATCTGGTTGTTACTAGTGGACATACAAAGTTTACTTCCCTTGCTAAAGCTGCTGTTAAGCTCCAGGTACATCATAGTCAAGTAGCTTGTTTTTTCCCTATGACTTGATTAGTTAGTCTAATTTTCTGTTTTATAAGCTGAAGGTACAGAAAATTCCATTCATCATCGGTGCAGTCTTTATGGCAAGATAACTACATTAAAATAACATTAATTGGAAGGTATAAAGCAAATTAAAATTACCTTAAAATTTATATCAAATTAAATTTAATACAAACCTGATTCCATGAAATCATGGGAAGTGTTAAATGATAGTAATATAACTCAAAGTTACAAAGTAGGGAAACAATACAAAAAACAGATTAAGAGAATTAAGTGGAAGTTCCATGTTTTCTGGTGATATTAGAAATATAGCACTAAGGACAAGAAGTGAAATGAAAGAACCAACAAATATCTTTACATAAATTTGTTACAACTCCCAGGATTTCTGGTATAATAAATTAATATATTTTTTTTAACTAAGAGAGAAAAGGAATTACATATATAAAAGTTCAAAACAAGAATACACTGTTAGTTAGCTACCTTTTATGAACCCTTTTGCAATGGGTAGGTCAAAGTGCACATGTCACAACCTTTTACAGAGCTACATTTAAAATTTAATTAAACTACTTTATAATTATATATGAATACAATTGGCATTAAAACGTAATTAATAAATCAAATTTTAATATTATATAAGTTTTAAGTTCTTAATTTTATAAAGAAATATTGTAAAAAAATCTCAATCTCCCCTAGTATGAGAGTTGTGACTTTACTCTAGGATTTTCCTCTTCTCCAATTTATTTACCACCCCTCTGAGGAGTATGGAATTTAATATAAATTACTTATTATAATATAGATATTACTCAGGAATAGTAAAATTTTTACAGCTTCAATCTTATTTGTTTATGGAGTCATAAACTAGAAAATCAGATCCACTTGCCACACCTACCTGTCACATCCTCTCTTTTACAGATGGGCAATAGTTCTCTCTAATGTTTAATGTTATATTATTTATAACCAATAGAAAGCCAAAGTTTAATCTATCAAATGACATATTATATTACATTGTTTTCTGTACAGAAAATTGTCTATTTTGCTTCCAGTTCAAACTTTATTCCCATGGGAAACACATTGATGAGCTTAGCTGAATTTTTAACAGCTCTTATTGCATGGTTAGAAAGCCAGAAAAATTATGATAGTTATATGGCATTGTCTGCTTTTTATGTGTTATTATTCTGTGTTCTTAGATGCATTATTTAATTAAATAAAAAATTATTGAGTATCGTAGTACCATAAGTATAAAAAAAGTAGACTTAAGTTTTATCGACAATCAACAGCAAAGAAAAAGAAGACCCATGTAGGTACTATATTTATTGTTTTGTTTGTTATTCTTTATTTATTATTATGAAAGTAACTAAAATGTAAAAATTAGAAACAATTTAGATTAGGTAAGATAAAGAACAATAATAAAAAATCTTAACAAGGTATGCTCGCAAGTAGCTCATGCTTTAAGTAATTCGATCTTTGCCAAATGATTTACAACTTGTATGGCAGGATTATTAGTTATACGTAGTCCAAAAGGTAATAAAACAATAAAAATTAAGTATAAACAGATGTGTACCGTTTAAGCTATTTAGAATAAACACGTGTGATTTCCTATTGCAATTTGCAATCATTCTAGAAACAAAAACATAGGTAATTTAGATTTATTGCCTAGTCTTTTTATGGCAGTTAGGAGGTAAGTCAAATTGACCAAAAGGGTATAGAGTTAGGGTAGAGAAAGTAACAGATAATATATAAAGTTTTTCTGAAAAACAAGTTTGTTATACATTTAGGAGGTTTTAGAGATTATGCAAATGAAATTTGAAATTTTCTGATGAAGAAAAGTATTTTTAATCATAACATGAAAATCACTTTGCACTTGGAGCAGTCAACACTGATAAATACATTTATAAACAAAATTTTAGAAAATACTTAATTAAAAATTCTGATTTTTTTTGTCCACAAGGAACTTGTCAAATTTTGTGAGCATATAGAGTTATAGTATGTATACCACCATGGTTACAAGATCATGTAAAATACATGAGCCAGTTGTGAAAGAGTGTAGAGTCCGTTTTATGTTTTAAACATGGCATTTAATTGTGCAGTTGTTTTCTGACTTATTGGTATGGATACTGTTCTTTTAATATTAATTTCAAGTTAATTAATTGTGTTAAAGCTCTTTCATATGTTAGATTGTATTGTATTTTTGCACAACTTAAAGAAATTTCATGATTCTCATGTAATATACTTTGTTGTGTTTACAGTGGTAATGGTATTATCAGGGGCGGATTGGGATGGCTAAGCGGCCCGGGAGTGGGATCACAGAGTGGCCCTGGACAG